TACCTGTGGTTTCTTAGTCGCCAAAGCGCTCTGATCGCTCACGCTCGGACGCTCAAAACCCTAGATCGATATTTGTACTTTCTGAATAGGTGAAAACGCTGGCGGACGCCGGAACGCTCGTGGACGCTCAAAACGCTGAATCGATACCTATACCCTAGCGCTCAAAGCGCTTGAGACATTCGAGTCTTGAAAACGCTGAAAGACGCCCAAACACTGCCGTAAAGCGCGAGCATACCCTCTTTGCGAAAAAGGTAAGAGAAGTTCGCGATTCCGGAGTATGAGGGGTATCAGCGACAAAGGGAAGTACACCTTTGCTGTTGGTTCCGCGACTGCGAGAGACAGCGGCAAGGCATTCCGAGCCCACCCACGGCAAATAGTGCGTTTCCAAAATTACAACTCGTTGAGTACGCTAGCACGACTATCATCTAGTCATTTCGCAGTCAGGACTGCGCAACAAAACTTGATGAAGAAGAAGCGCCTTTCCCCTCAAACGCTCAATGGAGGGGCGACCACCTAACGGCTATATTGGCAAATCAGAACACAAAGAAACGAAGCGCACTAAACTAATAAAGCTCAAAGTAAACCTATTTGGGGGGGGGGGAAACACGCGGCAGGCTGCTATCCTGCTACCTCCTTACCGAGATAGTACCCCGCGTGTACGGTTGGCTCCAGTGAGGGTTCTTATAAAGAAACTTCGTAATTTTAGGGGTAGAGAATGAGCCCCCGTGCAGCAGCCCCCTCAATACGTTAGCGCCAACCTTCAATTAAATAGAAAAAACTTCTGAATAAATTCTTTGACTGTACTCAAACAGCTCCTCCAAATATAATCGCGAAATATGTAAGAAATTTCCATGATTGACAGTACAACTATAGAAAAGCAAATGGAAGAGAATACCCACCTGTTTTCACTCGAAGTTATTAAAGAACCAGATCGACCAGAAGTTGTGAGCTTGGGTACAGGCTTAGGAGCTGATGGAGGATCCCTGAGTGCACTGCACCCTGAGACAAGGTGAGCACCCAAGGAGCTCATACGAGTGAAGCGGGACAGCATTTTGACTATCGAGCTTATTTGTCGAAGTATCGAACACTGTCATTCTCTGAAACAAATCGAGGCTATCACATCGCACACACTCTTCTGAACTAGTAATGTTGTTATTGAACAGAGATAGCGCAGTGATAAGAGCCGCCGCAAATACCTCCTCCAAACAAAGTCCAATTATACACATGTGAATCAATTTTTTTTGATCCCATTGGGCAACACGAAGTTAGAAAAGTCGTCTGTCAGAAAAAAGCGAGAAGCTGGTCTGATTTGGCACTCAATATCAATGAAATAGAAAAAAATGTTGAACAAACCCTTTAAGCGTATTCAAACAGCTCCTCCAAATATAATCGCAAAATGGGTAACCAAAATGGTTAGCGTATGCCATAGCCGTCACGGCATTCATCAGGCTAGAGGGCAAGCGGTCGCCCTGGTATCCGTTCGACAACCTTTGAGATCGTGGACGTGCGATGTAAGCTGTGGGACTTTGTTGCCCCACAATATTGGGTTGTCCGGAAAGTTCTCACCGTTTTGAGTGTTTCACTTTAAACGATCATAACTTTCTTAATACTCATCGGATTTAATCGAAATAAGCACCATTCGAATCAGCACACTTTTGCCAATGTGACAGCAGTCGAGAAATCAAAGAAAAAAACTGGGTGGTCGAGAGTTCACGAAATCCACGAAGGCTTTTTTGCCTGGTCCTGATTGATGAAGTATTTTCCAGCAAGTTCTGAAAATGTTTGAAAAGGTGATAGTCGGTTGGTGAAAGGTCTGGAGAATATGGTGGGTGAGGTAGAACTTCAACCCCCAATTCGTTCAATTTATGGAAATTGCCTCGGTGGTTCGTCGGCATCCAACCACTGTCCGGAACGTCTTTATCATACATGATCCACTTTTCATCACAGGTGACAATTCGGTTCAAAAACGGGTCGTTTCTGTTGCGCAAAAGCAGTGAAGAAGAAACCTCGAGACGTGCCAATTTCTGCCGGTCACTCAAATTGTGGGGCACCCACTTGTCGAGTTTTTTCACCTTCCCAATGCGTTTCAGACCATCCGCAACAGTGGATTTGCCAACGCCTAGCTTTTCTGCAATCTCTCGAACTGTTTGGGATGGGTCAGCCTCCACAAACGCCTTCAAATCCTCGTCAGGTATTGCTTTAGGTCGACTACGAGGTTC